GCCATCATATTTGAGAGACAGTTTTGCTGGATATATAATTCTTGGCTGGCAGTTGTTTTACTTCAAGCCTTCATATACGCCATCCCATTGCCTTCTAGCCTGCATGGTTTCTGCTGAGTAGTCTGAGCTTATTCTTATTGACTCTCCTTTGTAGATGACTTTTCTTTTATCCCTAGCTGCTCTTCAAATTTTCTCTTTATCTTTGGTTTTGGTAAGTTTGGTTATAATATGTCTTGGTGACTTTCTTTTGGGATCTACCTTATGTGGGGTTTGATGAGCATCTTGGGTAGATATCTTCTCATCTTTCATGATAGCAGGAAGTTTTCAGTCAACAAATCTTCAACAATTTTCTCTGTATTTTCTGTTATCTTCCCCTGTTCTGGTACTCCCATCACTCGTAGGTTATTTCTCTTGATAGAGTCCCTCATGACTCTTAGAGTTTCTTCATTCTTTTTAATTCTTTTATCTGATTTTTCTGCAAATAAGTTGGTGTCAAGAGCTTTATCTTCAATGTCACTAATTCTAACTTCTACTGCCTCAATTCTGCTCTTAGGAATTCCTATTGAGTTGTCTAATTCTGAAATTTTATTGTTAATCTTCTGGATTTCTGATTGCTGTCTCTCTATGGATTCTTGCAGCCTATTAAATTTGTCATTATGTTCTTGAATAACTTTTTTAAGTTCCGCTACTACTTTGTCTGTATGTTCCCTGGAAGTTACTGCATTTTGTTGAATTTCCTTTCTAATTTCTAGGACAGTTCTGTATATTAATCTTTTGTATCCTGCCAGTGGTAATTTCAAGAAATTCTCATCCTCCAGAGAATTTCCAGATTCTTTATTTTGGGGGTTTGCTGAAGCCATCATGGACTGACTCTTTATGTGATTTGATATTGACTGTTGTCTCTGAGCTATCAATAAGTTATTATAATTTTATTTTATAGTTGTTTAGTGAGTCCTAGCTTCTTGTTTTGTTTGTTTTGATATGCCCCAGTAGGTTGCTCGTGTGCACCAGTTTGATTATTGACACCTTTGAAGCTCTAATGTCCTGTAACCAGGTAGTTAGTCCTGTAACTAAGTATGTGCCCACAAGGGTCTGTTAAATTTTCCTTTATGGATTCAGCTCAGGTGACCAGGCAGTCAGTCACCAAGTGTGTGGTGCAGCCTCTCACCTACAGTCCTAGAGAAGCATGGGTGATTGGTGCAGGCACTGGACTCTAGCTGTGGTAGGCGAGCATGCGCTGAGCCAGGCAGGGGGCTGATGGCTGCCCCTGAGAGTCTGAAAGAAAAGCGTGTCCCTATTCTCTAGGGTGAGTAGGTAGGTAAGTTTTGCAGCCAAACTATCAGCACCCTGCTCTGTTGGCTTTAAAGACTCGAGGGCACTAGTTTTTGTTGGATTCCTGTAACAGGTGACTAGGAGGTTTAGGTGATGCCACCAGTCCTCAAGCCCCTGGTGCGGATTGATAAAAGTACCTACTTAAGGGGCAGGCTGTTTCGAGGGTCACAAATCTGCCACTTCACAGCTGAAATAGTTGAAGTTAAACTTCAAATGTTTGCTCTGTTGTACTGTGGTAGTGAGGGCCAACCCTGTTGAGATGGGTCCCCAGAAGTCTATACAGGGGTGTAAGGTGCCCAGAGTCTGCGGACTCCTTATGCCTGTGCCTAGCAAAGGAGCTGTGCTGACACTGTATTCCTGGCTTAAGGGAGCCAGTAGCTTATTTATTCCTTCTCCAAGACCAGGAGAATGGGTCAGGGTGCCTTTTGGGATCTACTTCCAGCCCAGCGGACTCCCGGTGCAGAGCCCAGAGGGAGGAGGTAAAAGGGAGAGAGGTTTTTCCCAAATGGGCTTTCTTTTTTAAATCCCCACTAAAGGCTGCACGCATGTACTTATCTTTAGTCACTTGGGAGCTGCTTCTCACTGGTTCAGAGTGTCCAAGCAGAATCTCTACTGCCAGATCTCTCTTGATGTGGAAACTGCTTTCTGAGTGTGTGCACAGCTGTTTGCCTGCTTCGCTGGGGCCCCAGCGTGGCTGAGGAGTTGCTGGCATGGCTGAAGAGTTGCTGTCGCACTGCTGCCACTCTGGTGTTGCTGGCTTCTTCCGAACCATCTCCCTCTCCCCCTGCCCCTCAGTCTGATTCCTCAACTTTGCCTTGTTCAGGGCTCCTAGATATTCATATATAATCAAATCACTTGTTTTTCCAGGTCTTTGTTGTAAGAGGGATATAAAAGGCATCTGACTACACTGCCATGCTGGCTCCACCCCCTGTAGTGCTATGTATATATATATATATATATTTTTTTTTACCTAGGCCTTCCAGCAGGTGGTTTCTTCCGTGAAAGCCACAGATGTCCCTAGATATCATTTCACTGGAGCTTTTAAATCAGTTTTTTCCTAATAATTATGGACTTCTTTTAAGAATTTCTTCATCACCCTGTTGACATATTTGTCCACATTTATCATTTTTTTTCCTGTGAAAAGCTGCTTCTTCCTGGTGTTTACGTTGTTTGACATTGATATTCCTGTATCCATTTCAGGTCATTCTGTCCTTTTTGTCCAATGTCTCTGGCCTTTGAAGCTTACTTTCTAAACAATGCAGTGTCTTCACCATTTTCTTCATCTAAATTTACCTTCCTCTTCTTTGGTGGTTCACAACTTATTATGAAATAATTATCCTCCACCGATTTGATATCACATTCATCACTATGTTCAAGATGAGTTGTATCCTCATCCTCAGCCATTGGCTCTTCAACAGGAGATATGGATCCATCATCATCTAAGTATTTGTATCTTCGACTATCAGGATCTACTTTTTCTAAATCTTTACCAACATCTTTCAAAGATTCCTTGAGGTGGCATTGATACTTCAGTTTTTCAATGTAGTTGAAAAATCCTCTCGCAACAGCTTACTCAAAGGTTAAAATTTTTTTCCAAGGAAGTGGGTTTCTTCCATTCTCTGATTCTAAAAACGGGAAACCAGTTCCCTTAACTTGAAATTGTTTTTTTATCTATTTGTAAGCTTTTAGTGTTTTTGCCTCCTTTTGGTCTTCCCGTTGGCTTATATTTTCTCTTTTTTTTTATGTTCCCTTTCCTTAAATCTTTCAAAAACAGCTTTTAAAGTCAATGGCTTTGGTTCCACATAGGAATCACTTGATGAAGCTCTTGCCTGAACACTTTTGGTTGAATGAACAAATGTCCTTAGAGGGTTTTCTTGCCTCCGCTTAGGTGAAGAAAGAACATGCTGAGTTTTAAATAAGCTGCTACCGGAAGATTCAGAGTTATCACTTTGATCCTCAATTTCCACAGTAGTAGCTAAATTAGATGTCACTGTGTTGTTGGGAGAATCCATTCCTGAGATAAATACTCCAAGTCCTTTTTCAAATCAGATTGTTTTGTCCATCACCTGTTCCTTGCTCTAAAGGGGTAAGTTTCTTTTTCCAACTGCACCCAAGAAAAGGCTGTAGTGTATATTCTTGATGTTCAAATATATGAGCTCTGTGAAGGATCCTTAGCCTCTTCTGCGATACAAATTTATTTATCTCAATATTACCAGAAAATGATTAGATTGATAGATTATTCCCCACTATAAGCTAGTGCTAACTGCCCATTTCAATGTTTGTGCTTTGAAACCAATATGTAGATTTTTGAAATTAGTTTAGTTATTCTGTTGTATAAGGAAGGTAACGTCTTAACCAATACAGAGAAAAAAAATCCTATGAAATCATGACAATAGGTGGTTCTTGAATAAAAACCAAATTCTATCTTACTGAAAGGATTTTTTTTTCCAGTTTTTTTCTTGATTAATCATGGTAAAGAAGATTACAATGATCCATTTCACCTTTCAGCATTAAACACTAATCTTGTACAACATAAAAAAAAAAATATTCATTTTATTAAGAGATTTCATGCCAAGATAATTCTATTGGACTGACTGAGGTATAAGTGGGAGAAGTGATGTAGCACATATAGATACATACACACACACACACACACACACACACGCACACACACGCACATCCCCCACGTGTCTGTCAGTTTGTTGTACTTGGAGGGCTTGCATGTTTCTGTTATACTGGAAGCTATGCCACCTGTATTCAGATAGCAGCAGGGTCACCCATGGTGGACAGGTTTCAGCTGAGCTTCCAGACTAAGACAGATTAGGAAGAAGGACCCGGAAGTCCAGTTTTGAAAAGAATTAGCCATTGAAAACATTATGAATAGCAGCAGAACATTGTCTGATACAGTGCAAGAAGATGAGCCCCCCAGGTTGGAAGGCACTCAAAAGACAACTGCCACCTCAAAGTAGAGTAGACCTTAATGACATGGATGGAGTCAAGCTTTCAGGACCTTCATTTGCTGATGTGGCATGACTCAAAATGAGAAGAAACAGCTGTAAACAATCATTAATAATCGAAACTTGGAATGTCCGAAGTATGAATCTAGGAAAATCGCAAATCGTCAAAAATGAAATGGAACACATAAACATTGATATCCTAGGCATTAGTGAGCTGAAATGGCCATTTTGAATCAGACAATTATATGGTATACAACCCGGGAATGACAACTTCAACAGGAATGGCGCTGCATTCATCGTCAAAAAGAACATTTCAAGATCTAACCTGAAGTACAATGCTGTCAATGATAGGATAATATCCATATGCCTACAAGGACGACCAGTTAATATGACTATTATTCAAACTTATGCACCAACCACTAAGGCCAAAGATGAAAAAATTGAAGATTTTTACCAACTTCTTCAGTCTGAAATTGATCAAACATGCGATCAGGATGTATTGATAATTACTGGTGATTGTAATGCAAAAGTTGGAAACAAAGAAGAAGGATTGGTAGTTGAAAAATATGGCCTTATAATAGAAATGATGCCGGAGATCGCGTGGTAGAATTTTGCAAGACCAATGACTTCTTTGCAAATACCTTTTTACACCAACGTAAACGACAACTATACACATGGACCTCGACAGATGGAATACACAGGAATCAAATGGACTATATCTGTGGAAAGATACGATGGAAAAGCTCAATATCATCAGTCAGAACAAGGCCAGGGGCTGACTGTGGAACAGACCATCAATTGCTCATATGCAAGTTCAAGTTGAAACTGAAGAAATTGGAAAAAGTCCATGAGAGCCAAAGTATTACCTTAAGTATATCCCACCTGAATTTAGAGACCATCTCGAGAATAGATTTGACATGTTGAACACTAATGACCGAAGACCAGAGAAATTGTGGAGTGACATCAAGGAAATCATACATGAAGAAAGCAAGAGGTCATTAAAAAGACAGGAAAGAAAAAAAAGACCAAAATGGATGTGAGAAGAGACTCTGAAACTTGCTCTTGAACATGGAGTAGCTAAAGCAAAAGGAAGAAATGATGAAGTAAAAGAATTGGAGAGAAGATTTCAAAGGGCAGCTCGAGAAGACAAAGTAAAGTATTATGATGACATGTGCAAAGAGCTGGAGATAGAAAACCAAAAGGGAAGAACACGCTTGGCATTCCTCAAGCTGAAAGAACTGAAAAAATAATTCAAGCCTCAAGTTGCAATAGTGAAGGATTCTATGGGGAAAATATTAAGCGATGCAGGAAGTGTCAAAAGAAGATGGAAGGAATACACAGAGTCATTATACCAAAAAGAATTGGTTGACGTTCAACCAGTTCAAGAGGCAGCATATGATCAGGAACCAATGGTACAGAAGGAAGAAGTCCAAGCTGCACTGAAGGCATTGGTGAAAAACAAGGCTCCAGGAATTGACAGAATATCAACTGAGATGTTTCAACAAATGGATGGACTGCTGGAACTGCTCACTAGTCTATGCGAAGAAATTTGGAAGACAGCTACCTGGCCAACTGACTGGAAGAGATCCATATTTATGCCTATTCCCAAGAAAGATGATCCAACTGAATGTGGAAATTATCGAACAGTATCATTAATATCATACGCAAGTAAAATTTTGCTGAAGATCTTTCAAAAACAGCTGCAGCAGTATGTCAACAAGGACTGACAGAAATTCAGGCTGGATTCAGAAGAGGACGTGGAATCAGGGATATCATTGCTGAACTAAGATGGATCCTGGTTGAAAGCACAAAATAGCAGAAAGATGTTTACCTGTGTTTTACTGACTATGCAAAGGCATTCGATTGCATGAATCATAAGAAATTATGGCTAACATTGCGAAGAATGAGAATTCCAGAACACTTACCTGTGCTAATGAGGCACCTGTACACAGATCAAGAGGCAGTTGTTCAGACAGAACAAGGGGATATTGTGGGTTTTAAATTTAGGGAAGGTGTGCATCAGGGTTGCATCTTTTTCCCATACCTATTCAATCTGTAGGGTGAGCAAATAATCCAAGAAGCTGGACTATAAGAAGAAGAAAGGGGCATCAGCATTGGAGGAAGACTCATTAACAACCTGTGATATGCAGGTGACACAACATTGTTTGCTAAAATGAAGAGAACTTGAAGCACTTACTAGTGAAGATCAAAGACCACAACCTTCAGTATGGATTACACCTCAACATAAAGAAAACAAAAATCCTCACAACTGGGCCAGTAAACAACACCATGGTAAATGGAGAAAAGACTGAAGTTGTCAAGGATTTCATTTTACTTGGATCCACAATCAACACCCATAGATATAGCAGTCAAGAAATCAAGCAACACACTGCATTGGGTAAATCTGCTGCAAAAGACCTCTTTAAAGTGTTGAAAAACAAAGATGTCACTTTAAGGAGTAAGGTGTGCCTGACCCAAGCCATGGTGTTTTCAGTCGCTTCATATGCATGCAAAAGCTGGACAATAAATAAGAAAGACAGAAGAAGAATTGACGCCTTTGAATTAAGGTGTTGGGGAAGAATATTGAATATACCATGGACTGCCAAAAGAATGAACAAATCTGTCTTGGAAGAAGTACAACCAGAATGCTCCTTAGAAGGATGGATGGCAAGACTACGTCTTACATACTTTGGACTTGTTCTCAGGAGGGATCAGAGAAGGACATCATGCTTGGTAAAGTACAGGGTCAGTGAAAAAGAGGAAGACCCTCAACGAGATGAATTGATACAGTGGCTGCAACAATGGGCTCAATCATAACAACGATTGTGAGCATGGTGCAGGACAGGGCAGTGTTTGGTTCTGTGGTACATAGGGTTGCTATGAGTCATAACCCACTTGATGACACCTAACAACAACAACATTTATACATATATATTTATATGTATGTTTATATATGTATATATGAATATAATAATTCAAATAATTTGTCTCCAGAAATTCTAACATCACCCGAAGTTTTTACAGTTATGAGCACATAATGGTATACCATATATATATCTCAAAACATGGCATGATCACTTCTCATTTGCCTACAACTGGCTCACATATATTTTATTTAGTTCCTCACATTATCCTAATTTGAATGTGCAGTTTTTTGTGGGGACCCTGATGAACACAAGTAATCATTTATCTTCACAGAGCTTACATTCTTGAAAATTCCAATTTACATAATCCAATCAGGGCCACATCTCTTCTTAAGAATGTGGTCAATACAAACTCAAACACATAGCTGAAAACAAGACGGAGTGGAGACATGCCTCCAATGGAAACTTCATCTGGTGTTATCAGAAGATGAATAACGGATGCTAGGCCATGAAAATAAAGGTATGTGAAGTGCAACCCAGGTAGAACTATCATTTCAATCATAGCTAATAATTACAAACAGTGCATGTATTTGTAATAATGTGCATTAAATAACAGCAATAATAATGGTAAGATGGCAAAATAATGTATTTAATCAGTTGAGATGATATTTTCATAACTTTCTTATAATTTTTTTGGTTGACAACTGAGAAACAACCATATGATCACTAGCAATAACAATATATCAGATAAATTAAAATTAGACTCATTGTCCTAGTTATCTGTTCTGTTACTGTTGAGTCAATTCCGACTCATAGTGACCCTATAGGACAGAGTAGAACTGCCCTGCAGGGTTTCCTAGGAGTGGCTGGTGGATTGGAACTGCCGACCTCTTGGTTAGCAGACTTAACTTTTAACCACTATGCCATCAGGGCTCCATCTTAGTTATCTAGTGCTGCTATAACAGAAATACTATAAGTAGATGGCTTTAACAAAGAGAAATTTATTCCTTCAGTCTAGGAGGGTAGAATTCCAAATTCAAGGCGCCAGCTCGAGAGGAAGGCTTTCTCCCTCTGTCAGCTCTAGAGGAAGGTCCTTGTCATTAATCTTCCCCTGGTCTAGGAGCTTCTCAGTGCAGGGACCAGATCCAAAGAATGCACTCTGCTCCTGGCACTACTTTCTTGGTGGTGTGAGGTCCCCGTGTCTCTCTGCTTGCTTCTCTTTTTTGTATCTCAAAAGAGATTGACTTAA